CCGCGGCAGACATCTGATCCTCGCAGCGCTAGCAAGGGGGGGATTTGCCCATCTTGTCCATGTGGGCCTTGCACTCATCGTGAGAAAGCTTCTCGCGCCGCGTTGCCCGTCGGTGCTCGCGGGGGCATCTTTCGGAAGACAAGGAGCAGGCGCCGCGGCTGCATCCATGGCATGGGCCATTCTTCTTGCAGTTGACACTGGTGGCGCGGCTTCGCGGGCGGCCCCGGTCCTGCCGCCGCCTCTGGCTCGGTCGGACGGGCGCTCCTGGCCCCCGCCGCGGTCGCCGCCTTTGCCCTTTCCGCCGCCTCCCTCCGCGCGCCCCCTTCCTCTCCCGCTGCTCCCGCCACCGCCCTTGCCCGACCGGGCAGGTGCAGCCTGTGCTGGGGCGGCATGATCCCCACTTCACATGGGTGTAGGCATTAGCGCTGTGCTCGAACGCATGGGCATTTGGCCCGCCCTTGCCGGCACTTTCGCCCCCCCCCCGCCTCTCTCGCCTTCCGCGGGAAGGCCGCGAGAGTTCAACCTTCTCCGCTGCTTTTCACGATTGATTCGCCCTACCTCCTTGGGCATGAAAAAACTTTCCCTCGATGGCAACCGCGCGTGGGCATTCGCTCCAGTACCGCGCTCGTCGATGCAATGGTCATAGAGCACACGGGCGCGTTGCATCCGTGGAAACTTTTGCATTTGGCCGTAGAAAGGCTCCTGTATCAAAGGGCGGAAGGAGTCGTTCAATTCCACCATCTCGTTGAGTGCCCTCACCCACTCGTCATAGAAGTGGACCAGGTCGCCATCCGCCTCCTTGCCCGCGCCACGGATCTTCATCTCCATAAGGTCCGCGCGCGTATAGACCTGACCATGATCCTGGCGGGTGGTCACACGTACGACAAGTTTGCGCAAATTGCACGACCTCTCATCATGCTTCTGGCGGATTGCGAGGATATGTCAAACCTTTGGATCTCTCTCGCAAGATGGCGGAGCTGTGAAACATACCGCCGGTCTGTAACTATCTTGTTGACCTTTGGCATGAGGTCTGCTGCAATCGTCAGGTCGAGTCGGACGAAATGGCCGAGTCTCTCAGTTCCTCCGTCTTAACGCTTTGAGGTCGAGAGCTTCCTCGCAATTCGGCGAACCCGCCGCCGCCGCCCTGGCGACATTGCGCCGCCACCGCTTGCGCTTGGCAGCATCGGGGGTCGCCTCCAAGACTATATTATCCGTCTTGCCTGCGTCGCTCCAACATGGTGCAGTGGCAGGGGGCAACGCCCATCAACGGACATGGGGCACCATCGCCGCCGCCGCCGCCACCTGGCGGATCGCCTTCAAGCGGTCCTCCGCCACGCCGGAGACGACGGCCTGGGTCGCTATCCTCCTCTCCGCAGGGTGTCGGGCATCCTTCGTCTTCGAGATGCAGGACGCCACCGCCCTCGTCGTCAACGTTGTCCTCGCGCCCGCCGTCGTCGCCAGGGCCTGGGTCTGGATGTTTCGGCGCTGGTGCCTTCCTTGGGGGGGGGGGGGGGGCGCCACGCCCCCCTCTGTCTCTCTGTCTGCAGATGCTCGCAACCCCCCCGGCGCCGGAGGCGTGCGCCCCAGCGAAGATGTCGCCATGCTGGAGCGAGCTCCCTCCGAGTTGGTATTCAAGTCCTTCTGCGCTCGAACCTCATGCTCGGCCCTTTCCCCCCTTTCCTGGGTCTGCCGCGCCCGGGCAGCAGCCGCCTAGGTCCGTTTCTCGCGCGTCTCTTCGATTTTGACTGTGCGCTCAGCGCGCGTCCTGGCGCGGCCCTCTTCTCGCCGCGCAGCCTGTTGGAGCATTCTCTTGAGTCTCTCGTTCTCTGCTATCGCGGCCCCTTCAACCCAATCAGCCTCTTCGAATCAACATTCTCGGCCCGACGGTCGTCGCTTCCAGTTTCGAAGCCCCGGGCGCGCGCGTGCCGAGATAATCGATCGCGAGAGCCGGCCCTCGGCGTGGACGCGGCGGCCTTCGGTTCCTCGAGCTTCTTCCTCGCCCGGGATTCCTCGCGTTCTTTCTCCCGGAATCTCTCCCTGGCTCCGTTGTCTCTCGCAATTGAATCTCCCCCGTGGCAGCGCGCGCGCATCTCGCCATCCAGCGCGAAGTGTTCGTCGCAAACGCCTGCGTCGCATGAGGCGCAGTCGCGGGCAACCACCTCGGGGCGCAAAAATCATCGCGGGGCCCGCGCAGGGGTCGCGCCCCGAGCTCCCTTGCGGGCATGGCCCTCCGACCGATGGTCGCGCCGGCGATGATGCAATGGGCGCTCGATTCCGCTGCCGACCCAGTCCCTGGTGACATTTCGGAGGGCGTTCCGATCCGGTTCCACTGCGTCTGATGCTCGCTGAGTTTGCGATGCAACTTGTCCCGCTCAGCTTCCCAATTGCTCTCCATTTGGGCGGCCTCCTGCTCCGCTGCGCGAGCGCTCGCGGCGACTTGCCCGGTGCTCGCTTCGATTCGTCGCATATCCTCGCGAGCGCGTTGCAACTGAGCCGCGGAGCGAGCATGGCTCTGATTTGCGACGACACGATCCGCCCCGGCCTGTTTGATAGCAGCGACAGCCTCTGCGGCTAAACGCGCAGTCCGATCCTCTGCTGCTCGCAACTCCCGGACAGCTTGCGGCGTGGTCGTGCGCTGAGCTTCGTCGGCCCCCCGGACGGCGCATCTCGCTTCCTCGGCGAAGTGTTTTTCCTGTAGATGCGCATGGCGCTCAGAGGCAATCCGTCGGGCAAGCCCCCTCCCCTCCGCCGTTGAGAGGCCTGCTCGGCTGCCGTTGCCCGCTGGCGCCCCTCCGGGCACCGCGCGGCATTCGCCGTCGCCCCCCGGTCTCGCTCCGACTGAAGGGCAGCATCCGCTTGTCGTTGCAGCTCCGACTGTCTTACTAGCGCGCGCGTTTCGGCTAGGTATCTCCCTGACCCATGAATTCAAACGACTTTCTTTCCACAACTTCGCGCCGCTCGCTAGCGCGTAAACCTGCGCAGTCGCGCGCGTTCGGGGCGGCGCGCGTCGGGCGCGGGAAGTTTAGGTCGCGGGGGCCGCCGACGTCCGAGCGCCCCCCAAGAGACTGGCATCCCACGCTGGTCCGACGAACCAGGGCGGCGCGACGTCCAGGAACAACGGCGCATCTCGGTCCATAGTTGGCGCACGTGGCGTTGATGCGCGCGCTGAACGCACTCGGCCTGCCTGATGGGTTGGACAGGTCGGACACCCGCGATCGCGGTCTTGAAGCCGCGGGCCTGCTTCTCTCGGCACCGCCCTGGCGAGGAGAGCGGGTCCGTGGGTCAGGCGTCCCAGACACCGATGTCGAAACTTTATGATTCGCGTGGGCACGGCGCGGCGGGGGCCCGAGAGCATAGCTCCCAGGCCTCCCCTCCCCGGGGCGGACGCAGGGTCGTGCTCTGGGATGCCGCCAAATCTGCTTTGCTTACCGCGCGCTGATGTTATCGAACGGCTAGCAGGCTCACGTCTCTGCGCACTCGTGACCCGAATCAGTCCTCCCAGGGATTCATCGTCAGTGGTATCCTCCAAGTTCCGTACCAAAGAATCATCCGATAGAATCGCGGCGTCCTCGCCGCGCGCAACCGCCACCTGCGCAGGAATGTGGAAGTCGCCCAACGGAACCGGGGACGCACGGCCATATGCCTCGCCTCTTCCGTCGTGTGGCCGATGATCTCCGCGGAAGAAGATGGGCTCAGGCGTCGACCTGCGAGAGGATTTATCCCCCGATGAAATGGGCTCCACGTCGGGCTCGCCGCATGAGAGATCGATGGGGACATCAGGTCGGTCACCGATTGGTACAGGATCCTCATCTTCATCGTACAGGTCGGCATGCGTGATGCTTTTGGTCGTCGGAGTAGCTGGGCGACACTCATCATCGAAAGAGGCGCCCCAGCTAATCTCGGAGGGAGGACGTTGACTCGGTTCCCCGACATAGTCGGCCGAATCTGCTCCAGGAACAGCCAAACTCAATCCGTAGACGGTTGTACATCGTCCATTGACGGTTGAAACATAGTTTGCCCACCGGGCGATACCAATTTCATCGAACATAGAATTTTCGGTCGACCGTCCGTATTTAGCCGTTCTATTTTACGATGGGAGCTTTCGTGGCCCGGCTGATGGGCAACATGTGTTCACGTTCATATTGTTGTTGTTATTCCCCATGTTTTTCTTGTAACAATCTCTTACTCAAGCTCATTGTGTGGATGTTTGATGTTTTTTGTTGCCATGGCTGTATGTGCGTATAGGTTCCGCAAAATTTCAAGTGGCACGCCTATGACAAGACCCGGCCGGCCTGGCGGGCACGTGCGGGGCAGGCAGGGCCTTCTGCTGCAACCGACACACAGTTGCGGTCATGAAACTGTGCATGGCGTAGTCGCACGGGGGGGTAACTAAATCAACTCGGGCTCAGGTCCCATCTGGTCTGCTGCCCTGGGGCGCAGCGCTGCCTGCAGGCACCGAAAGGAATGATCAAGGTGGACGGGAAGGGGATACGGGAGGGAAAGGGGTGCACCATTCCAAACACGGACGCGCAAGCACATATACAAACACACGTGTACTCGCACATCGCACGGGTGCTGCGAAACACCGACGCTTCAATTGGAGATCAACGCATTCCGAAACTGACACCTTCAAATCATGCGACGAGTTGGACACGGGATCTCTTGCCCAATACTTACACTTTGGTGCGTCTCCACTTGCCAGCCGAAGCAGCGCGATCCCAAGAGAATTCCCGTTCCTCCTGGTCGATCCCAATCATGCCCTCCTCCTCCTCCTACTCCTCCTCCTTTTCCTGCTTCTCCTCCTCCTCCTCCTCCCCATCCTCCTCTTCTTCTTCAGGCTACCGCAACTTTCCCGGAAGAGAAAACATATTTCCTCTCGAACGCCGCCCCAAAGACCCCAACCTCTTCCCTCTGGGCCTCGAGGTCGACCTGGCGCACGGGCACCCAGTGTCCGGCGTGGACATCCTGTCGAGAGCCGGCACCGCCCCGCCCGTTGGCTCCACGCCCTCCACGAACGCCTTCGCCTTGGCAGCCGGCATGCAGCAGTCCTCGCCGCGGCGCCGCGCACGCGCGTGGACTCCTCTGCGGTGCACTCTCCCGCATCCCCCCAGGGGCACAAAGATGCCGCAAGGACGGCCCAACACAGGACAGGACGCTGCCAGGAAAATGTGCCCAAGAACTCTACAAAAAGTCCTAGGACGGCTCCGAAAGGGCTACAAAACAGTCGTATCGGTCCACTGGGAGGTCCCCACATGGCCCAAGAGGCTGCCATGAAGGCCCCCAGATACATGGGCGATGTCCCGAGCGGGCCCCAAGGGGCCCATAGATTGCCCAAAGTGGGCCCACGGCGGACTGCAGGAACCTTTTCTCTGCGCCTCCCATCCCCCATTTTCTCCCCCGTCTCCTCATCGTCCTTGTCCTCCTCGTCTTTCCCCATCCTCCTCGCCCTCCTCGTTCTTTCCTCCCTGCCTCCCTCTTTCGTCCTTCCTCCTCGTCGGTGCTCTCCCCATCCTTCTCCCTATGCTGCCATTCCTCATCCGCGTCCTCTCCCTCTGTCCCCTCCTCCTGGTCCTAGCCCTCAATCTCCTCATCCTCCATGTGTGAAGTATCAGTTGCTGGATTCAGGCGAAATGCCACCTGTGGCTTGCGCCGATATGTTTCAAACGCACGCCTTGGGGCATGGTGTCGTATTTTGCCGTCGCTGCGTAAAAGACGCCCTGTGGCTACCCAGATCCCGGACATCACGAGTGGGCAACGCTTTGGGTTGCAGCATCATTTTTACACGGCATACGTCATTCGTATCTAGCATCGTGCACTGCGACATGCAATGTTTGGCATTAGTTGGCTGTGATGGCTAAGAGCATTGGCGGCGCAATGGGCCGGCAACGTGCATGTTCCTCTTCAACACCGAGATATGGATCTCCACACACTGTTTCGACCTTGGCAGGCTCGCTTGTCAGAAAAACGACGCGAGACGGCCCACCATGACGATTCTATAATCATGTTTGGTCAGCTTATAGCCGTGCAAGGTTAGCTATGACACCCTCTCTGATGGGGTGGCGCAGCGGGCCCTTGGGGGCCTAACAGATGTGGTCTGATTCGTCGACCCACTTACGCTCCAATACTTCGCCCTTTCATTATCTTGTGCAGACGGTCGGCCGTGCTGACTCTTGCGTCGTCGGCTAGGCGCTAGGCAGAAGAACTGCGCTTGCAGAAGAGCTAACTAAACGGAGGCACAGGTGTAGCGAATGGTGCCACCCGTGCACGAGAGAGGGAACAAAGGGGAGGGCGGGCGGCCGAATGGGGGGGGGACAACGGGGCGAGGGCCGCTCAGGGGGACGGGTCACGCCCGGAGCGGGTGGCGCGGCCGGCCCCGCCGGCGGGGACTGCGGCGGTTGCTGCGCCGGGGCTCCACGCCGCATAATGCCATGGAAAGGCGCTGGACTCCACGAGGATGAAAGGGGCCCAAGGACACACACATAAATACACACAAATAAAAATATGCCCCATATTTTCCCATATTTTCTGGGTTTCTGTCTTCCCCCCCACTTCCCATATTTTCCCATATTTTGTGGGGGATCGACGATTAATTGTGTCTGTGTTTTTTTTCCTCCTGAGAGGAGAGGCGACGAGGGGCAATTCTGCCAGACGAGCACCCTGCCACCCTGGCCCGAGGAGTGGGGCCGCCGAGTTCGCGGAGGCTGGAAGAGCACTCAAGATGGGGACAACGTAGCGAGCGAGGAGGAAGCCGCCGCGCACGCCGCAACGGCTGACTGCACTGCGCAGGAAACGAAATATCGCCGCGGGCGGGGAGTGCCGCCGCGCACGCAGCGACAAATATCTCCGCGGGCGGGGAGTGCCGCCGCGCACGCAGCGGCGAGGGGTCCGTGCGATGTGAGAGAAGCAAAGCCACGATGTGGGGCGCCGTGCGCGCGTCGGCGAGGGCGCACCCTGTGCGGGAAAGAGCACTGCTGAAGAGTGGGGAAACGCAGCAATGTACTCGGCGGCGATGGTGGCCATCCGATATGGAACAACTCTGCGGGGGAGGGGCACCGCGGCGGATGCAGCGTCGGCGGCCCTCTTACATGAGAGAAACAATCAACGAACACATCCACGATAACGGCACCACCGCGCACGTGCGCGACGAGAAATACCTTAGCAAGACAAATAAATGGCACGAGGATGCGGAACGCTTTCCCATTCAGACTTTCATGGTTCATGGGCCCATGCAAACTCCCGACGCGGTTCCGCCTCCCTGCCTTCGGCATATCCAGCTGCGTCGCCAGCCCTGGGCAGATCACAACCGGATGGTCGATGAGCTGCGTCGTTCGTGGGAAATCGGCCTTGCAGAGCTTCGGGTTGTCCTTGCGACGACACGCTGGCAAGGGCACCCTCTCCCGCGTCTCCGGGTTCTCCAGATGCACGTGGTGCTGCTTCCGCTCTTGAAGGTATTGCACATCCTCGTCGAGGTACCTCCTCTCCCACGTGCACGCTTCCTCCGCCTCTTCCAGCTTCGTGACTCCCTGCCCCGCACTGCGCGTCTGATACGTCGGACGGCACACCAGCCCACACTCAGTCTTGTATTCTGGCCACGCGGCCTCCGCTTCTGCGAGATTCTTCTGAAGACCGTCTGGGGTGACGCGCGCTGAGTACTCCTGTCGGCAAACCCGGCGCTTGTACTCCAACGACTCTTTTACGAACGCCCGCCCCCACCCGTCCGCATTGTTCCGGACGAGTTCGAAGGTTTTGTCCAGCGGCGTGTGCTGGTGCAGACACTGCGCGAACACCTGACAGTGCGCATGGAGCGCGCCCGTCGACTTTTGCGCTTCGATGGAGACATAGCACGCGTCCACTCTGCCGAACACCCCGCCTTCCGGCGCGGCGTTGCTGCCGAACAAGTCCTGGCACGGCAGCATTCGCTCACTATGGTTGCATCTCGGGCAGCTCGGACACGTGCGCATTCCGAAAAGGTGCCGCATCGTCGCGTCCACAATCACACGGAAGCCTTCCACGCTCGCCAATGGATCCCGAGCGAGTATCTTCCTGCGCTCCGTCCACGTAGGCACTTGCGACAAGATCGCCGCCAGCGGTAGTTCCAGGCGCACATCGTCAGTCTCTGGAGCGACCTGCGGCCACTCCCGACTACCACCTGCCCGTGACGCAGCTGCGTCGCCCTCCGCCGTGTGGACCGGATCACGACGTCGCGTGCGCGACAACCGCACCATGATGAGATTGTCCCCTTCGTCGGGAGAGAAGGTCGCAAAAATCGGCACGCCGTACCGAACGCGGAGCGCGTTGGTTTCGAATCGCATGACCCGTCGCGTTTCCTGCGTCCCTGGTAGCCGCCGAGACGTGTGCTCGATGTTCGCGAGCAACTTGTGGGCAGCTCTGCCGAGTCCCGGGACGTAGCGCACTTTTGTCATGTCTCCCATGACCCTCTGCTTTTTACCGTTCACGTCCTGGTATTTCCCCGCCAATGCACGGTGGACCTGCTTCGCCCCCTCACTGATCTCCTCGGGTGTGATTTGCGCGTCCACGTCCTTCGGGTTCGCGGATACGTACGTAAACCACGTCCTGCTCAGGTTCACCGCCGAACGAAATACCAAGTTCCACGACACGTACCCGAAGTGCCAATCGCGCGACAACTGGCTTTCTACGCGACGACTCATGATGCGAACCCACAGCGGCAGCTCCACCCGCGGGGCCTCTTCAGAACGCCGATACCGCGGACGCTTCAAAAAGGCTGGCATGTCGGGCATGCCTGTACAATACTTGAAAATGAAAGCAAACGCCACGCCGAAATACCACGGTTCGAATTGATCCATCATTGTGTTCCCCGTACATGCCCGCAAGCGATCAACTCGTTCGTTCATGTCCAGCGCCTCTGTCAACAATCTCACCTCTTCCCTCTCCTTCGCCGGCACGACGTCGGGCTTCGCTTCTCGTCCGCCTGCGCGCGCGCGCTTCGCTCGGGGACCTTCATGCTCCGACTCGCACTCGCTGTCCTCCGTGCGCTCGCTGAGTCCATCTTGTTCGCATTCTGGTGACACCCTCTGTACAAAACTTCGTAAGGCTTCCACGCGTTGGGCATTGACATCCCCGTCATCGAAGCTGCTCTTCTCGAGGACCACGGCGTTTCCTTTCGTCGCTTCCAGGATCTCCGCTGCTTCCTTCAACCCGTCCGGGCACGGGACCGGCGTCGCTGCTTTCTGCATCTGTATCTTGTCCAGCGCGTCGTCTAGAGGCACCAAGCGCATGATCTCGGGCGGTGCATCATGCTCAGGAAGCTCGGCAGCCTTCTTCCGCACTTCTGCCATGCACACGTGCTGATATGCTCGGTGCCCACGCATCTTCGCCCCCTCGATCAGCCTCGCGACCACTTCCCGCCGGACCAACGCCTGATGTACGAACTTTGCCATGTTCGCTGCCGTATCGTCGTCGCCTCCGGACTTCAATATCACCGACACTATGTCTGCCAGTTCGGCGCCTGTCCGCGGGAGCGACGGCGGCCTTGCCTTCGACGCCCCTGCCTCCAAGGCGGTCAGCTGCGCGAGCATGTCCGTCCACGGCATCGGGAAGGACGCGGCGTTCCCGCGAGCAGCCATCCGACGCGCGTTGTTCCCCGCCTCCATGTCAAAAGACCGCTCGATCCGATAACGCTTCTCCAGGGTGAAACACACCATCGAGGTCACGCACACGGACGCACAAATCATTTCCAACACGGTTACCTTTCCTGCGAATAGCTCTTCCGGCGAGTAAAACGTCATCATGTCATTAGCGAGAGCCGCAGGGGGCGCGACCGCCTCTCCTCTCGGCCCAGACATACCGGTCCGGCATTCCTCGCACAGCGGCGCCTCGCAACGATCGCACACCTCATTCCCTTCGTGCCAGGATTCCGCGCTGCAGCGCAGGTCTTCGGGACAACACAATACCTGCACGGGCCCGTCCATCGACGCGATCGTTGCTTGCCAGTCTTCGAACTCCTCCGCGTGATCCCGCAGATGCACGTCGCCTCCGACCTGACCGTACCGCTCCACATAACTGTCCACGGACAGATGCTTCCTGACGAACGAGACAGGCAGTCCGAAGATGCCGTCCAAATTCGGCGACACCTTCTGCCAAGCAATTGGATTCCCCCGGCGCCCGTCCACGTGAGGAAACTTCCGCGCGCACACCATGCACACAAGGGAACATACTGCCTCCTCCCCCAGCGCTTCTGCATATGCACGGAGACATCGCCGATCAATGGCAAGAGCGGCGAGAGGAGCTCCCTGACGTACCTTCCATGCCACAACCTCGTTGTACGCAGACAGGCACCGCAACTCGTCACTCTTTTCGTCTTCGGCAGAAACGCAAACCAGCGATGATGCGATGTCCTCGAGCTCCGCCCGATGCTCCTGCAGCAGGTGCGCGCAAAGGTCTGCCTCCGAATCTCCGTGCCATCGACAAGGCTTCCACCCGTCCTGCCTCCAGCGCCTGAAAGCGCAGTGCTTCCTCGGCAATCCTACTGCTCCGGCCGGTTCCCGGACTCCGTCACCCAAGGCATGCCCATTCGCCGAGACGGCGGGCAACGTTGGTGCATCTTTCAAGTGCTCAGTCGCGACCCTTTCCAAAATTGCTTCCCTTTTCCGTCGCGGGTCGTCCGACATTTTGGCAGCGCGGATCCGATGCGCGTGGCCTGGCGCGTCTCCATGTCCCTCGCCGTCATCTTCCTGCGCCGCGCCGGTGCCCGTCGTGGCGCGCGATGCCATCGGCGTGTCGCCCGAGTCGCCGTGGTCGCCTACTCCCGCCGCTGAGGCGCCACGGTCCTTCGTCTTCCCTATAATCCGCCGGCGTTTCGCCCGGGTGCCGGCAGAGGTGCCCTCGGTCTGCTGGACACTGCCCGCGCTAGCGTTTCGAGACCTGGAACCCCTCGCCCCAGGCGCGACCGCCGTCGACTCCATCCCGGCGCTTTGCCATGCTGGTTTGTACGTCGCGCTTGCAATGTGCGCCCCAGTGTGGTTGTATACCTCAAGCACGACAACCTCGCCTTCAGCGCGCAGGTGCTCGACGCACGGCCACGCACCGAGAGCGGGCCTTTCTCCCTCGAGCTCTGCGCGGGTATACGAAATGGAAACTCCCTGTTCGCGCGCATCCAGGAGCCCGTCGAAGCGGGAGTACGCGCGCACAATGACCTCCTCCGGCAGCACTACAGCGGCCGCCCGGTACCGTGCCAACGCGAACCTCATGATCTCGCCTGCGTGGATGCCGTGCCGGAGCTCACCCTCGTGCGAACCCGACGCCAACCATGCATCTCCGACGTTCGACATATGATCCATGCACGCATCGCACGCGACACGGCGCCCCTCCTCTGACGCCAAAGCCTGAGTGCACCATCCTCGACGGGCCAAGAGCTGAAAGATACAGTCCGCCAGGGACGCGCCACCTCCGTGTCCCAGAACGCAACCACCGTGGCGGCCTGATCCGGCCATCTCTTCGGCTCGCTCATCGTCGGTCCGCGCCTCGAATACCAACGCCCCCATCAAAAACTCCAAGAATTTCACCGTGCGGTCCTCCACCACGCGGCACCGATCCTCCGCGCCGTGAGCGCCCAGCAGCTCTCTCCGCGCTACACTCCGCCCCCGCCACTCACGAACCCACTTCTCCTTCGTGACCCGCAACGACGGCGCCTCCTCCCCCCACGCCCTCCAAAGATGCGCGTGCAGCTCTTGGGGCGCGAAATTCAACCCCGGAATCTCCCGCACTTCCGGCTCTTCACACGCGCTGCGCAGGAGACGCAATGCACGCCCATCAGCCTATCGGAGCACGCGCACCGGTGCGAGGAGATCACCCGGAAGGATATGCAGTGCTCGCTCGCGTCCTGGCCGGGCGGCCACGCCCTCCATAATTGGTCCCTGCGCGTTCGCTCTCGCGGTGGGCGCCGTGCACGGGGCCGCCGTCGCGCTCTCGCGGCCTTCCCTCCGCCTTCCCTGGCCGCCGCCAGCCTCGCCCAAAGCCGTTCGCTGCTCATCCCTTCTTCCATCCCGGACACCGCCATCCACAGTCGCAGACAGACCGGTCCCACGTGCAGACGCCGACGCCATCTCTTTGCGCGCGCCCACTCCTGCGTCGTTCACGTCGGCAGCTGCCGCATTGACACCGCCTCCTGCGCACTGAGCGCCGCACCCTGCCCCATCGCTGCATCGCCTGCCACTCCACGCAGCCATCAGCGCCTTCTTCCCAGTGCGCGTAGTCGCCCCGCCAGTGCGCACGCTACCGCCGCCTCGCCCGGGACCCGCGCCTCTGTCCACTTCCATGCGCGGTGGAGACGGCGTTCCCCTTGGAGGTCCCAGTGCACATTCGCCCGACATTCGGCCTCTGGTCGCGCCCGTGCCCTTTTCCCCGGCGCCGCGCGTGGTGCTCCATGTCCCCCTCCTCATGAGCACCGTCTCAAGGGTGTTCTCCACGCTTCCAGATCCATGAGGCAGTCCTCTCTGGGTTGCGTCGGCGTCCGCATTGGCACGCAGAGCTGGCGGAACTGGCCGCGGCGGCAAACCTCCCGACAAGCATTCCAAACGCTCGTAATGCCCACGCACAGCGCTTCTTCCAAGTCCTGCGTTAATGCTGATGAGAGTGATCTCCGCCGAGTGGCCTGCAGGCAAGACATATTTGTGCAGCTGGAATGCCGCGCCTCGAAGCCCGCGCTCTTCCCGAACCTCCCGCACAATGACAGCGTTCAGACGTGCGCACGCGCACGCTAGCAACAGTTCTAAGTCGCTCAAGTAATACCCATCCGAACACAAGGCCTCCAAATAACAGGGATACACAAGCGCCAAGAAATCTTGGAAAGGCTCTTGCACCAATGCAGACTCCCCAGCGTCGACGGCGGGCGCGTGCAAGCGGGCGTCCTGCACCAGCTCTACAAAAACCCCAACTCCAGCCTCGAATGCTCTATCTACGTCCGCTCCCTGCAGGTCCTCCACCGCGTTATTGACATGCGCCAGAAAAGCGTCCAAGTTGTTCATGCCGCAATGCTCTACGATTCCGCGGCGGTAATGCTGCCCGGCATCTGTGTCTGTGCCAACGACGTCGATCTTCCGACGCCCGTCGTCTCCCCTACACTCGTAGTCCCCCAGAATGCCCATGTGGGCCAGCAGCGGGCGCAGGAAAAGATCTTCCATATCATCCTCGCATAAACCTCTCAGGGCACTTGCCACCTCGCCACGTTTCTGCTCGAACTCCGACCAGCGGGCTCTCTCTTGCTCCACGGCGAGCACGCAGGCATTCAAGACACGCCCCTCTCCCTTTATAATCTCCCAAAGTCTCCTTTCCTCCGGCAGCATGCCCAGATTCCGACTGTTCAGCCCCACTTCCTGTTCGGCCTGCGGCTTGATCACGTGCTTCCACGCCGAGTTCATCAGATCCTCCAGCGCCGGAGCGTCGCCGCAGTTTTGCCGCACTTCCTCTGCCGTCTCGCCTAGCGTCATTCGCAAAAAAACTCTCGGATTCGCGTGCCGGAGCCCCTGATGACTGGCCGTGCCGAACAGCGCATGAATGCCACAAACGCCCCCCTGCCCGCTCGTGGTGATCTTTCGATACCTACGGCTTGCCATCCCCCGCGCTGTCTCGGAAGGGCACAGCGCGTCACCCACGATGACAGGGCTACCGTCAAGACATCGCCCAGTACTCGCATTTGCGCCCCTGCTTACTGCCGGCGGCTCCCCGACACCGCGACCACCGGCAGCCGCCCGCAGCCACGGAGCATGCCCGCGCGCTCCCTCCACGCCGCCCAGGCTGTGCCACCCGTGAGCTACGCGCACCAAGTGCCCCTCCGCAAACCAAACGGCAGCGCCGACACAACTCCCCGCGACATCGCCCAACGGCCATTTTACGAGCGGCGTCCTTTGCATGAAGTGTGCCATACCGTGCGCCTCGTACACCCAGACGTACGTCTTGTGGCAATGCAACCATGCTTCGACGGCCCGCATGTTCTGTCTCGCGTCTGGAAACCCCATGCTCTCCCCAGAGACCGCGTGATTCGCGCAACGTCGTTCAAAATATCTGACAGCGTCCCTGCGCCACCGTCCTCGACGCATCTTCGCTATGGCAGTCTGGACGCACTTATTTTCAAAGCGCCGCAATGTGTCCACGTCGTCTGCCAACACCACGAGTTCCGTGCGCAGAACAAGCGATTCGCACATGGCCCACGCGACGGCCACTCGCAACCTCCCGTGGCCAACAGTCTCCGCGCCTTCCCCGTTCCGATGGCTTCTTGGCTGTCTCCTCCCCGATTTCCGGTTCAAGCCAATCCCCGGCGAACGGCGCGCGCGGGCTGTCCGGGCGCTCCCCACGCGGCGCGCTCCGCGGCCGGACACCGCCGCCGCGATGCGCAGGAGAGACGCCTGCGAAGCAAAACGCGATAGTCTGTCCTTTCTGTCGTTCCAATCTCATCACCATCACCATCACCCTCACCATCACCATAACCATCATCGTCATCATCATCACCATCATCGTCATCATCATCACGATCATCATCATCATCATCATCATCATCATCATCATCATCATCATCATCATCATCGTCATCGTCATCGTCATCATCATCATCATCATCATCATCATCATCATCATCATCGTCAGCGTCGTCGTTCACAACATTGCGTTTTTGAAGACCCTTCCGAAGGCATTTTTTTGAGAATGTCTCGAGCGAAACGCTGACTCCTGAACACAAGTCATACTCGCCAGCTTCGTCTGCCCAGCATCAGATGGGGTCGGCGGCAGAGGCGGCAGCCTTTAGATAAATGGCACGAGGATGCGGAACGCTTGCTACGAGGCGCACATCGTAAATTCTTGATGGGGTGCCGCCGCGCACAAACAATGCCTGCACAACGCATCATCAGCTGGCAACGTCGCATACGCGCTGGCGCGATGTGATGCACAAGCGATGGCCTCGGCCACGCCGGGACGGAAAATGCCGCGCTGCAGCCCGAGCTGGGCGGCCCGGATCCGTGGCGCTCTCCAAGGCCTCCTGGGTTATGGTCATCCGTACCTGCAGATTTCCTGCTGGCAAGGAGCTGCTCAGGCTCAGAACGCAAGGCACCACCACCACTGACAGGGTTCGACGCATGCACGGGAAGGGCCGCCCAGAAACCACTGGACGACGAAAGAGGAGGAGGAGGAGGAGGAGGAGGAGGAGGAGGAGGAGGAGGAGGAGGAGGAGGAGGAGGAGGGAGGGAGGAGGAGGAGGAGGAGGGGGAGGGAGGAGGAGGAGGAGGAGGAGGAGGAGGAGGAGGAGGAGGAGGAGGAGGAAGGAGGAGCAACACTCAGCCAGGGGGGGGAGGAGGGAGGTCCCACCGTCCTCGTAGTGCATCGCGGGCATGGCGGCTGCGTCGAGCCATTGCCCGCGCCCGCGCTCGCACGAGACCAGGGATACTCGCATGCTTGTGACGAAGTATGTTATACAGGCTATGTATCATGTCAAGTCCTAGGGCCATACTTACAAGGGCAGACATTTCTAAGTCCTTCCAAGCTCCAAGAACAAACATCCTAGACGGGTCTCCTGAGCCCCAGGAATTAGGCAGAAGAGGGAGGGCGGACCTCACTTCAGGAAGAATTCGAGGACATTGTAAGTAGTGTAGCAGTCTATCACCTTTTTCGAGACCACAGCACCTGCACGCTTGAGTCGGGGTAGAATAACGGGCTGAACAATTCCAGTGATTCGATATCGTTTTTAATACGGCGGATAGAACACATTGGGGTACATATCGGGCAAGAAGGTGCATACGTATACCAGTGAGGAAGGCCTCTTGTGGGGTAGTACCTGGCCGAAACTTACGGAGCCTGGAAGCGAGCATGTTGGTGATCGTGACCGTGTCTCGATCACGTCTAAGGGCATTATACACTTTAGCTTGGAGGCGAGGGGAGGCAGGCTCACGAGGGACACGGGGCATGTCCTGCAACTCGGCCTTGACAGCCATCAGATGCCACAGGATCGAGCTCGTCACATAAGGGTTCCACTTGTGAGTGAGAATCCAATCGTCGCCTTCAATGATTTCCTCGTATCGATACTCCCACCTACAATAAGCAATACTACGTAAAGTGACACGATAGGCACTAGCTTTAGCATATAGACGAAGATCATGCACCTCACGTTTAAAGCCGACTTTACTAAGATTCAACATCATATCGTGACTTATGGCATTGAACGGGCCCGCGTGTAACAGCTGCACAGATTCATACTCCCGTCGCAGAACAGCTTTCGAGGGCGGCAGCAGTTGTGCAACATAGCTCAACGTCGGGAAGGCGAACAAATTGTAATTCATAATATTCATCATGAAACTCATCCCCATGGTCCTGATCTGCCGAGCCCGAGAAAGCACCTTGTCCCCAGGGTCTCCCCAAGATAATGTTTCTCCACCTTCGCCGACAACAAAACCTAAGTACTTGCCGTGCTTCGCAAGCCTGAAGCCGGAGACGTCGAGACCGTGCTCGGCAAAGAGGCTGAGGGCACTGGCGGGATTCATCCCGTAAGGCAGCAAGATGACAGTTTTACCAGGGTGGATACACAGCCCCGAGAGAGTACTAAACCAACTCATAATGGGTAACACAATAGGAAGAGTAATGAATATGTCCTG